GTAACTTTGAGTGTATCCTGTATCCACTTGGCCAAAGGCTTTGGCTGCTCTGAACGTATCCCGAGGGATGAATTTATCTAATTAATTTCCTAAGAAATTCTAGCCATTTATTGAGGATCTAGAAGGTAGTTAGAACATCCACCCCCCTTTGTAATTGCAGAGCAAGAAAACGGTTGTACTTTTCTACAAGCTCCCCTAGATGTACCCCCTCCTTAGGCCCACCTATGATGTTTTTTAGTCATGTGAAAATGCAGAAAATTATTGTGTGCTGGAGCCACGATGACTCATATTGGCTTGAGGTATATACAAAGAACACTTCACTTTCTTCTGTAACAGCAAAGTACAAAAAACATACTTATTATTAGAGAAGGTTTTTTTAAATTCCCATAAAACTGCTGATTGCTAACTTAACACAGCGATGACATTTTGGGAGAGAGGGAGGCACGCCAGAGGTGGAAAAATGGAGCGCGAAGAGGAGGGAAGGTAAGAGAGTCAAGTTAATTATTGTGAGAGATCATGGCGGTTGAAATGACGAGACTGTCAGAGAGAAATCGTCATACATATTTAAAAGCCTGATGTCTTTGTCTTCCTCTTTGCAACATCATGGTTTGTAAATTTGTCATTGATGAGGTGGATTGACAACAGACTGCCCTGTGTTTGAAACATGCAGGCTCCTATGATCAGGAAAGATGGTGTCTCAACAACAGAACAAAACACTGAACCATCGCATGTTCAAGGAGTGTTGCCAGTTTTCCCTATCGAGCACTTTCTGCAGTTTAGTGGCCTAAATCATTTGTAAGAGACACGCAGCAACACCATTAAAGAATTTACACAAGATGGAATAATCACATCTGCAAAACTGCTAAAATATCTTAAAGCAAAGTCAATCTGCTCTTTTTCCCCCTGAAATAGGCCCTGTATACTTTCAGAGCATGGTAATGTAGATCAACATTGTTTCTCAGCTGGGTGGGTTGGGTAGCATTAAGTTTGCAACTACAGTTCATGCCATATTGAAGTCCATCTTTCCTACAAAAGGTCGTAGTATTAGGCTGTGTTCAGACCACTCATTCATGTCAATACTCAACAGGAAATGTATGTTTAGATGGTAAACTTACACTTCAATTTTAGTGATGGTGGTGTTCTGAGTCTCTTGTCTATGTTAAAATTAAATAAACACAGTTCAAAAGCATAACATACCACTGGTCGGCACTACATGTAGGTGAGAGGCATCTTCAATATCTTCAGGGTTTCCTGCATTGCTTTGTAACAGAGGTTGGCTGTCTAGCTTGAAATGAATACCAACTTGACATTGTTAAAAATGTACTTTTTTTTAAAATACAGGGAATAAGAGCAGAGGGGGTATTTCACACAGCAAATGGCATACATTTAATAAATATTGTTAGGGCCATTAGTAATTAACTAAGATGATAATATCCTCAGGAAAACCTTGAACTTTGCCGGTCTGGAGAAACATTTAGGTTTAATCTACTAAAGTCCAAGTTCTTGCTCACCCTTGACCGAAAGCAGGCAGAGCTAAGGAATGGTCATTTACTTACTCATTAATGTGACCTATTTCTTTTACTGGCTGTATTTTTTGCACAGTTAAAGCTTTTTTTTTTTTTTTTTTTTTCCTCTGGAATGTCAGCAAAGCCCCCCCCCCAGCTAATTAACATTAGCATATTCAGACATTTACTGTTCACTTGCTGTTGCCTGGGCCCCCTCCATCTTAAATGAGCTGCAGTCCACTGAGTAGCAGATCAGCCAATGGAGGCGAGGCAAATTAATGAGACAGTAGGACACCTCAGAGCAACCCCTACTGTTGGCTATAGCTTTGTGCAGAGGTGGTTTATGATGCAGTGTAAGCTGTGAAAAAATGTTCTATTCCTGCCGCTGCAGCTTCACATTAAAAGCATTTTTTACTGGCAAAAGTAGTCACAGGAAATGCACTCTGTGAGATTAGCGCTGACCGCTCTCATTCATCAAAAGTCACACAAGACAAAACAAAAACAACAAGACAACAGTCATTTTCAACAATTTTCTGACAGCGGAGCAGTTTAAAATAATGCAGTGAGTAATGCAAAAAGTCAAGACCATAACTTTGGGAATATCAATAAATTGCTTTTGCATTGTCTGATTTATTTAACATCCTAATGCCTAATGCCAATCCTTTGATTGGATGTAAAACATATTGCTTCAAATGCAACCAATAACCCTTAATAAAAATGTGTTACTGTTAACGATAATGTCCCTTATTCAGCTTGGAACTGTCAAATGCTCCTGACCTTACCCAGCATCAAAAGCCACAATCGACACATTTTCTCCTTCTCTAATGTCTTCGTCATTCTCTGAGGGGGTGTCGCACTGTTCAGAGTGCTCTCCGGCACACCAGAGCCCCAGAAGGCTGACAGGAGGAAAGTGGAGCGTTTTCTTTGTTTCTGTAAGATCGGATGTTGCACGGCCAAATTAGTGTGCTCCGAGCGTTCCCTCCTCAGCCCTTTGAAGCTGCCTGATGATCCGCGTTCTGCATCTGTCTCAGGGGACAGCAGCCTGACTTTTAGCTACAGCTTTGCGGTTTATATACTATGAAGGCTCAGCGTATTCTAGATACGCACTGCCCCCCCAACCCCCACCCCGTCACCCTCCTCCGTCGTCACGCCTGCCTTGTTTGACGGCTCAGAAAGCTTCAAATGTAGTTTGAAGAGCACCCTTCAACGGCGAGGGTCTTTTCCTAGAAGTGACAGATTTACTCCCTGCGAGCGTGTGGCTGCGAGGTGCTTTCACGGTACTTGTCACATGAAAGCTTGACCTTGCCGTTGCCCCATAGGTTAATTTGACAGACTTTGTGAGCAATTGATTATTGTTCAAAGAGTCTTTTTATCAGCTGCTGGTAATGGGCGTCCGTACAGAGAGAACAAGAACCCCCGACTTGTTGTCTCCACTTACTCCTGAGAAGATGCTTACAGACAGACAGAGAGGTGTGTGTGTGTGTGTGTGTGTGTGTGTGTGAGTAGCAAATCAAGCAAGCCTCTTTCCTGGTGTGTCCATGCGTGTAACAATCGTGCCCATTTTGATTTAAAGCTTCCCAGTGGAGTGTGTCAGCAGGAATGGAAACACACGCACACACACGTTGGTTGTGACGATTCAACCAGCGACACAGCGAGCCCTTGCTTTGTCAAGGCACGGCGGCAGCTCGCTGTTTGTACCCATCTCCACGACAACTGGTGAAGGGGCCTCAGGTCCCTGATGAACATAGCAGCGTGGTGAAAAAACAATCTCCACAATCACTGGTTTATTTTCTCAAAGTGGGATCTCTGCCCTCTCCTTCTCAATTTTCTCTCCCCCCCTTTCCCATTACTATGTCATCTTTTTGACCTCATCCATCTCTTTTTCTCCTCCTCCTTCACGCTCCCTTTATTCCCTGGCATGCTTCACCTCATTTCTCATCTATCCCTCTTTTCCTTCGTGTCAAACCTTTTCTGACCTGTTATCTACTGTAGATTAGATTTTCCTACCAGACCTGTGCAGCGGAGTAGATGAAAATTAAGAAACTGTCCCTTCTCTCTTCTGCAAGGCAGTCACTTCCTCATCTAGCTCTTCTAATTACGCATGATCATTTTTGTGTAACAGTATGGCTAAGTAAAATCAGAAAAGATGGTCTTTGCCAGAGAGATGAGAATTTTAAAAAAAATAAAAAAATTAATTGATCTTTACTATGGATTTCTTTCAATTTGATCACCAAATTGAGAAAAATCTATAGGTCCCAGGTAGCCGGTCTTGGTCTTGAGACTGGTCTAAAGACCACTTTTTGATAGTCTTGTCTCAGACTCCAGCGCATTTGTACTCTGTCTTGTCTCGGTCTCTGTCTTATTTCAAGACCATAACTTTGGGAATATCAATGAATTGCTTTTGCATTGTCTGATTTTATTTGTTAACATCCTAACTTTGATTAAATGTAAAACGTATTGCTTCAAATGCAACCAATAACCCTTAATAAATATGTGTTACTGTTAACGACTGTCGCCCCTCCCCACAATGGTAAGCTTGGAAAAGGAGTGTTGAATAAAGATGCTTACGTTGATTTCAGCTCTTAGTGTTTGTATGTGAGTGTTTTAATGGGAATGTGGATCTTTCAGATCAGTTTGAGAAGAACCTATGATCTCGTTTTTTTTGACACATTTCATTACACATTTTATTGTGTCATGTAATGTGGGGAACTGGTCTTGCACTTGACTTGGTCTAAGAAAATAGAACCAGGAATGAACATTATAGAGAGCCTAAGTCTCTCGCTTCTGCTTTCGGCCCATGGGACCTTTTTTCGGGAAAAATATGTACGGTAGTCAACGGTGAGAGACAACTTATTTTTTGATCCTGTTTGTCAACTTAAAAGATAATTTTGTCTGAGAAGAAAGTTGACGGTTTGTCGTAAAACTGTAAAGTTAAATTTAGTTTTGTGTGAAAACCATTCACTGAACTACATCTCTGGTCTCACACAATGTCACCAACATGTTAATGCCGTAATGCTAAGCTAACGTTCATTGCTTGGTTGCTGCTAGCTAGGTAACTTAGCTATGTTCCACGCAGAAATGTTTCTCACCTGATTTGTTTAATCCAACAACTCTGTCCTTTTTATCACATCATCTACACGTGGAAGCTCTTTCACTTTAGCTTCAGTCATTGAGAGAAAAAGTCATGACATCACTAGGGGTGGGGCGATTCGTTGAAGCGTCGCTGCATCCGGTGTTACTGGGATTCAGACAAGCTCCAGCTACAACACCGCTCCTTCAACCGTCTAAAGTGTAATTAGCTGTCTCTTGCCAATGACTACCGTACATATCTTTTCCAAAGTAAGGTCCCTTGGTGGGAATTTGGCTCTCTATAAAAGCACATAGAAGGATTCGGATTTGAAAATATTTGCTATGAGAAATGCTCAAGACGAGGTCTGTTAACCAAAATGTTACAAAGCTCTCCCTCATCCTGTCTCTGCGTTTGTCCTCCTCCAGGTGCCCTCGCCATCCTCATACCTGAGCTGGACCTTGTCATCTCATTGGTCGGCTCGGTCAGCAGCAGTTTCCTGGCTCTGATCTTTCCTCCCATCCTTCAGATTTTAGCCTTTCACACAGAGGGCCTGTCGCCCCTGGTGACCATCAAGAACGTCGCCATCAGCCTGGTTGGTTTGATTGGGTTCGTCACAGGAACCTACATCGCCATCGAGCAAATCATCGCCCGTAACGGACTCAAACATGAAGAGACATTCACCTCCTACATGGTCCAGTGATGAAGCAAACTGACTGACGGCCATTTAGAAACCATTTTCATGTTTTTGATCGTTGATTTGCTCCTTTTTGGATATGGTGTCCATTTTAAGTCTCATCAAATGTTTTAAGCATTATGAAGCTGTAAGGACTTGTGGTACTCCCCTACAGTGTCCTGTCGTATCTGACACACACGACTAGTGGCAGTTACTCACTCACACTTCATCAAGTCCAGCCATTTAGTGCAATATAGTAATATAATTATGATAAAAACAAAATCATTCCTTCAGGTTGTAAATACCTTCAAAAGAATTTAAGAGAATTGAAGGTGTTCAGAGGTAATTTATCATTTCGACAGCCTGAATATATTGATGTATAATATTTCAGTCAAAACATCAAACTACCTCACAAAGGATTTGGTATTTCGAAACATCCAGATTAGACTATGTTGCTGAGATTGTGGGGTCTTGTAACCCTGAAACAGCTTCTCATATAGAGCTTATATATTTTGAGCCACCACCTCCATTGAGGGGGGGGGGGGGAAGGATGGGGGGAAAAAAAAATCTACAGTTTTTGTTGCACTTTGATTTATGCCTTATTCAGTGAAAGCGGCTCACTACATAGACAACACATCACGTAACTGTAACTTCAAAATTACTGTTGCAAAAGATTTTATTTTATAACAAAAGGGTTTGGGTGTCAATGGTTCTGATTTGGAGCCTGTTTCAAATTAATAGGAACCATGGATTCTTTGGGATTTGTGCTTTTTGATTTCTCTTATTGAATCTTGTCAGGAGGTTAGGACCTGGTGCACACTGTGTTCATCACTGGCGGGCATGCTTAAAAGTATGGAAGTAAATTACATTCACTAAAGGAAAAAAAACTGAGTCCTTATTGTGTGATTATCACTTCCATGTTTCATTATGACTTAGTATCTCATAATGAGATTAAGATCTCATTTATGAATGTACGGATCTTATTCTCATCATTGTAGCTCTAGAAATGGATGTTTTAGGTTGTGGTAGTCAGGTTATTTAAAAAAGGTGCACGCTGTTTGAGCAAATGGGATTGCCTCTAAATCTTTCCTTGAACTTTGTCTTAGTGTAATTTTACAGCTCACATCAGCACCTAGTCATAACACTGATTTATGTGTTTGTGCCTGGATATTAGCAACAATTTAGGATGCCTGAGTAGGCTGATGAGCCATTTAATTTTTACTTTGTTGTTTAAATACTGACACCAATGATGTTTGAGATCTGCAGCACAAAATGTTAAGATTTAAGATCATTTTGAGGTATTGAGTCCCACCCACCATGAGCTATGGATCTTATAAATATGAGATACTAAATGGGGTGAAGTTTCTTTAGTTAATGAAGTGCACTTATGTACAAAAGTGCAACTAAACAAAACCATTTCACGAAGGGAGGAAGTATTAGTGCAGTATCAGTGCAGGACTTCTGTTGTCTCTAGTCACAGTGCGCTAGAATCACCTAATACCAGAACATCTGGCTCAAGTCAGATTTAAAAGGTTGACGTATAACTTGTTCATGACAGGTTGAAGAATATATATTCTAATAAATTTCTATTTTAATGTTTGGTAGAAAAGGTGTTCTTTACATATTTTAGCTGCTATTCTTGCCAAAAACAACAAAACCAGGATTTGATAAGAACCCAGATTGATTCAATAAGTCGTACTGATACTTAACCCTTTAACAAAACATCAAACTTTAGAAACTTTGTCGTACTTGATGATGTAGGAGCTCTTCAATGTAACTTAATTTTCTGTTTTTTAGGACCTATTTTGGATCAAATTAATTTTTTAATGTGTTTTAATGTTTTAACGTATTTACTAAATTAATGGTTTGGTATTTTTAAGTAGTTTTTTTTTATTGAATAGCATGCATTTTTAAGACTTACAGCTAACCTTAAATGTTATTATGGTTTAAGTACAGCGAGGCTCTGCATGTAATATAATGAAATATGTAATATAAAATTAGTTACAAGCTGACAAATACCAACAGGTACTGTAAGTTCATTCTAAAGCTTCTCTACTGTTGTCTTCAGTGTTTGTGGCAGTATAAAGGGGCCTGGAATTTTGTGGTTTTTATCTTTAAAAAGAAATGCAGGTATTTATCAGAGGAAATTGGTAAAATCCGATAGCTATGAGCCTTTCGTGTAAATGACTTGTAACAGCTGCTGGTCTGAATCACAGTTGTTTTTCTGTATAACCATTTGTTGCACATGTAAATATCTGCGCACACACACAAGTTATTTTAAATGACCAAACACCAATTTTCTTTATCTGCATCTGCGATTTTCTCTGAACGTCCCCCTGGGCACTTTCAAGGTCCCATGTTATGCTCATTTTCAGGTTCATACTCATTATTTGGGGGTGTCTACTAGAACATGTGTACATGCTTTAATGTTTAAAACACATTATTTTTCTCACTGTCTATTGCTTCAGCATCTCTATTCACCCTCTGTCTGAACACTCTGTCTTAGCTCCTGTCTCTTCTTCTGATTGGCCAACTTCTCAGAAGCCTCCGGGGGGGCAGCAGCTAGCTGCTACAAAGCTGAATCCAAATGTGGAGATAGGTGTGGCTCACTGATTACAGTACAACATACACACAGATTTTGGTGTGGGGAGGTCCTATGCTAAACAGATCCAACGTTGATGTGAAGAATGGAGCCAAATTCAAACAGCATGTTTGCGCACACATTTACTGCAGGAGAAAAAAATAGAGGATGTTTTTTTTCTCATAGTTTGGGGGTCTGTGGACAAACGAGGGACACGTATTTAGGTTGACATGGAAAAAGTAGATTTTGATGATATGGGACTTTTTTTTTTTTTTTTTAAGGTGTAGAATGACTTATTTGATAAATTAATTAAAACATTTTTATTTTAGCAGTCTTTATTCTTTGCTCAGAATAAATAACACTTAAATTATTCATATGTGCTTTGTGCTTTTTTTAAGAGAAACTCAAGAATCGTTCACTCATTTCGATGTTGGCTGAATTCCCCTCCAGCCACTGATCCGGTTGTGCTACAGCTTATTCTGCATAACAAGGACCAATAGCAGTAACTAGTTTAAGTCAGGTCATGGCTAGGTTTTATTGTTACTAACAGAAATATATCCAGAAATAGAAGATGGCACATAAGGTCAGCTAAACTGCTGACATAAATTCTCCCTCAGCCAATTACTGTCTTCAGTGTGGTTTGGCTGTCACAGCAGCAAGGATACTGATTTTAAAGTGAAGCCCGGCTGCGGTGGTCTGTTTTACTGTAATTAGACAGTTGCCACTTCAGATTCTCCCTGAATAAGGAAGATAAGTAAATGTGGAGGGATTTACATTTATATTTCAGGCTCATTCATTTACCTAACTAACTACTGTAGCACAGCAAAAGTGACCTTGAAACATAAACTAGCATATAAACAAAAAAAGGGAAAAGACTGCCAAATAACTGACGGCGCCAGTTAAATAATGTAAGGGCGACATGCTGTATCGTCATGAGCTGGTTCATAATGGACAAGGGCTCTCACTCAGCACTCGCCCTGATGAGCAGATTTCAAATCTTAAAGGTCGCACTTAGGGATTGCTTTTACAGTACTGGCACCAGGAAGCCGACTCCACCCATCAGAGACTGCATATAGGATCTGCTTAATAGCAATTTGTTCCTTTCACTAGCCCAGTTATACACACTGCGCCAATGAGAACAAGGTCATAAAGAGGGGCGTTTGGCTTTTCTTAGCTATCATGTCTTCCAAAATCCAGTTTCCTATCCATCTCAAGAAATTGAGTCATTCCAGTGTCTTCTAATCTGTCTCACTCTCCTCTCGGTCGCAATGCCCCTCCCTGTTTTTACAATGATTCAGCAATTTTACAGTGTAATTCTACCACACTTTTTCAAATGTGAGGATTTATTTTTATTCCCACTGTTATCCTGCATTCTGTTGTAGCAGCATTAATGGATTTAAAGCAGCATCGACCTGCTGCTGGTCATTCATCCTGTTTGTGAAGTCACTGCTGAGGGGTCCAAAGTCCTGATTTGACATGGATCTAACTCGGCTATGTATTAACTTTCTTCTCTTATTTTTTCATTTGTGTATATAAATATCAGAAAATAATATTTATATTTAAAGGTACAGTGTTTAAGAATTGAGACTAGTCTCAACCTGTAAAATTCATACTCCAAAAGAATAAGGGCATATCACATATCTGATGGTAACTGCTGCTAACTGCCCTTAGCTCAGCAGGCCAGCTTCTTCCACATCTAACTCTGAATTAAGGGTTTATTTAGACAAAACCAGAGTTGGTGATTGTTGGAACAGTGGAAACTGGTTTGGGGAGTTTTATTTAGTTTCTGTCCAGTTTGAATGGCGTGTGTCTTATGAAGTGAGTTAAACTTAGTTAGACTTTTTGTGAATAAATCTTTGTTTATTAGACCCAAAAAGCTGTGAGAGATTGTTTGACATAGCAAACCCACAGCTCACACACCTCTGAAGTCAGAACTGTTACTTCTTCACACTGTTAATATGGTTAGTTAAATTTTTTTAATTCTGGCCATATTGGGTTACTACTTTTAATGCTGTCAACAATCATAATAGCTTACTATTAACGGGCAAACTATTATCAACACTTGCTGTCACTTTTTGAGCCTTTGAGTCTGTCAGCACTCTGCAGAATGTAAATTCAAGACAAATTGGACCTTGGAGCTCTGATTCGAGCTGCTTTTGTGGCCACCTCTGCTTGGTACATATTCTTCTATTCCGTGTCCCTGAAGTGCAAACGCATTTCAACATCCGCCGCACAAGCAGTCGGACTAATCCTGTTTGCTGCCTAATTGATACCAATGAGAGGGAGGGTGATTGGATTGTGAAACAGAGAAAAAAAAGTCAGTTGTGGTTACTTTTCCTCTGTGAAAGGTCCCCCCCCCCCTTATGGTCAACCAGAGATGTAATTACGCTTACCAGTGTGGGAGCAGGGGAGTCTCTAAGACTGATGCATTGTAGATGAGCTGGTCATTAAAGACTGTGTGCATGCATTTAGCTTTACATTGATGAAAATGTTGCGTTAGGAATAAATACAGACTGTTTTTATTGCTGCAAGTTTCCCGCTGATTTCTTGTTGCTTGGTTCATATTGTTCTTTTCCAGGGACACGAAACCTGCGCAAACGCATTTCAACATTTGCCAGCCAACTAGTCCAAGTAATCCTGTTTGTGGCCTAATTGATACCAATGAGAGAGGGAGGCCTATTAGATTGGGAGGCAAAGAAAAAGGTCCGTAGGGGTTTATTTTCCCCCGTAAAGATCCACACTTTCCTAATGGTCAGCCAGAGATGGAATTTCATTAACCGGAGTGGGAGCAGGGGAGTCTCTAAGACTGATTGATGTATTCTGACAACAGCACCATGTGTTGTAGATGAGCTGGTCATTAAAGACTGTGTGCATGCATTTAGCTTTACATTGGTAAAAATGTCTTATAGTGTGTTGGGAATGAATATGGTTTAGCATATTTTTATTGGTGCAAGTTTCCCACTGAAGCATTTCTTGCTGCAGGGGGTTGGTAGTTTATTATACTGTCATGATCACATAGGTCCTCTGTTGCCCTCTTTTTTAAGGACAAATCTTTTGCAGCTCACCTCATTTCCCACTGAAATGGCTTCTCTTTTTCGCTTATTACTGTCGGCCCTAAAAGGCCGAAAAACACTTGATGACACCTATTCAGCACTTCCTAATTTGTTGTAAACAAAGCCCCATTCACTCTCACAATGTACTGTCTTTGTCTGAGGCAGCTACAAACACAGAGATGATCCGTGACATTAAAAACTCGGGTCGTCTCTTTATGTAATTGTGTTCCTGCGCGGAACCAAAATGATTTATTCATGACAACTCAGTCTCATTGTATCATCATTTATCCAGCAACAAAGCTTGGATACAGTGTTGTCTGTAATAGTATTAAAATTAGGAATTGTTGTAGAGGTACAATAGAATATTAGAGCTGGCAGTGGCAGCTTAAGTAGTAGAAGGTTGTTAGCCGTAAAACAGGCCATCCATGCCTGGATTGATGGACTTTTTAATTTCCCATTATTTGTGTAAATATCAGAAATGTATATGTACGTTTAAAGGTACAATATAATAGGAATTGAGACAACTCTAAAAAACAAATAGGGGGCAGCATATCACATATCAGGTCATTCTGCTGCTAACTGCTGTTAGTTTAGTTAGTTGTGTCGCTGACTTAGCAGTTGTATTAGCTCACTGAATATGAAATGGGCACCACAACTGTAGTCGGGCGAGCAGGCAACGGAAGCAGTGAATATAATAATAGTAGCTAACCATGAAAGGGCAAACTATTATCAACACTTGCTGTCACTTTTTGAGCCTTTGAGTCTGTCAGCACTCTGCAGAATGTAAATTCAAGACAAATTGGACCTTGGAGCTCTGATTCGAGCTGCTTTTGTGGCCACCTCCGCTTGGTACATATTCTTCTATTCCGTGTCCCTGAAGTGCAAACGCATTTCAACATCCACCGCACAAGCAGTCGGACTAATCCTGTTTGCTGCCTAATTGATACCAATGAGAGGGAGGGTGATTGGATTGTGAAACAGAGAAAAAAAAGTCAGTTGTGGTTACTTTTCCTCTGTGAAAGGTCCCCCCCCCTTATGGTCAACCAGAGATGTAATTACGCTTACCAGTGTGGGAGCAGGGGAGTCTCTAAGACTGATGCATTGTAGATGAGCTGGTCATTAAAGACTGTGTGCATGCATTTAGCTTTACATTGATGAAAATGTCTTATATTGCGTTAGGAATAAATACAGACTGTTTTTATTGCTGCAAGTTTCCCGCTGATTTCTTGTTGCTTGGTTCATATTGTTCTTTTCCAGCGACACGGAACTTGTGCAAACGCATTTTGAGTTGCCTCTTTAGTTTTTTCTTTTTTTATTCTGACATATAGGGTTACATATAATTGACCATATTTATGTTCAAATATTGTCAAAACAAAGAACAATTTCACAATAAATGTATTTGTTTATAGAAATATATGTTGAGGCCTGTTTTTTTTTTTTTTTTTATCAAATCACAGAAATTATAAAACATAACTGTGAACTATCATACCTCAGCCTTGACCTGTCCAAACAAAATCATGTTTTTTCACCTGAGGCACCTCACCTCAAGTTTTTAGTTAACTGATCAGATGCGTGTGTGAAGGGCTCAGTGTAGCTCCTGCTGTTACCTTGAGACAGTTGAAAACCTGTTAAGAGTGTTGTCTGGAGAGCAGGCAGCTGCACCGCCTTTCACTGAGAACAGGGAGATAAGCAAAGCATCCCCGTGGACACCCAGCTTAAAGGATTCTCCGCTTCTCATCTTTGGAAAGACGTTTTCCATTTCAAAACTCTGAGAGAGCCGAGCTGAGTGAAGAGTAATGTGTATTTTCTGTTTAGGAGGATGATCGTCTCTTTTAAAAAGGGGTGTGTGGCTTGCCTTAAGCACCACAGCCAATCGCTTACTAATTGAAAAGTAGCGGACACACAGATGATTTCAGGGGTGTTGCAAGATGATTAATATGAAAAATACATTTCTAATATATTAATGGTGTTTGTGACTTGAATATTTTATACAATAATGAATATCTGCAGCTTCCAGGCTTTAAAATGATTACTTATATCCTTGAGTTAGTACTATAATATAGAAATACCAGATTAAAAATCCATATATTTATACCGGACACTGGAAACAGTCTTCTCTCTAGTGAGTAACAACCAGATATGTTTCGCTCTATTTGTATTAACCCTGAAAAGGACCTTTTGATGGACCAGAACACAATCATTAGCAGCTGGACCCAAGACCAAATGGACTCCAGAAAGGTTTTGTTGATTTATTGCCACCAGTTTGTTTTCAGACCAGTTGCCTATGTTTCCTCTTCCAGTTTAAACTCAATAGGAAA